ACTTGGTAGGTCAAAGAGTTTCGACAAACGACGAGGTCAAAGCAGCTGTAGACGCATATTTTGACTCTAAGGAGGAATCATTTTTTTTCAACGGTCTAAATGCTTGGAAGAGGAGGTGGCAAAAGTGTATTGAACTTGATGGTGATTATGTAGAAAAATAAAAATATAACTGATTTAGTATTTGTTTATTTTCTTGGTTAGGCCGAGTACTTTTCAATCCACCCTCGTATATATTCTCTATTCTAATGATGTTTGTTTTCTGTTTTAATGTTTATTGTATAATTTATTAATACTAAATAAGGCGAAGGCTAATTAAAATTGTAACTTTTTTATTTATTTTTTAACATTTGTACGCCGTAGAGGCTAAACATGACTGTCGAGATATTTTCTTTTAACATCTTGCATGCATATGTATGTATACTCATGTTTGAACAAATAAAATGATCTTAATCTTTATCTTTAAAAGCAGAGCACTGTGGTATAATAGAATGTAAAATTTTATTTTGAAATGATAGTGTGTAGTCTTGTAGTGTCAATGAGGGCTAATAATTTTCTGCTCACCAGATGTCGCTAGTTGACACTGAGGTAAAGTTTTTGTTACGCAATGTAATTTAATTGAGAAGTGGGTTTTTAATAAAAGTTTGTCAGTTTCTAGAGTACTATATCTATTAATACACGTAACAATGCGTCAATGGTTTGCACTTTAATTTTTTGCACTAATTGTACAGAAAGAGACAATTACCTCTACATTATTTTCCGAACAAATTAACTTCCCCGCTATGAAATCTGTCAAATATTATACCTCACTTTATAGTGGCGCCGCCCTGGTGGCAGAAAAAGTCGTGGATGCCCATGTGAAGTCATTAAAAGCTGTTTGAAATGCCAAAAATATAAACTTGAAATTTTGTAACTTATTAATTGCAACAATTATCTGAATTATTATGAAGGAGTATTTATAATGTATTCTCATCTGGTTGGGCTGAATAAATATATAAAAGTAAATGATATATATATATATATATATATATATATATATATATATATATATATATATATATATTAAATACATATACTAACATAAATAAATAAATAATACATGAGTAATTAAAAGCCCAACCAGATGGAAGCCCTCGGCAGGGGAGACCAAACGGCCGAGGGTTAGGAAAGAAACCGGCGGACGATGCCGGCGCTATCGAGGAGCACCACATTCTGCATGTGAGCCCAGCGGAGCAGTCCGTCACGGAGTCCCAGTCGCCTCAGATGACCCGAGAAGCTGACTGGGATTAGCCCGTTCGCAGAAACGACCACAGGAATATTTTCGGTCGGCAGACCATCCCACATGTCAGTCACCTCGTGAGCCAGATATTTTGTCTGCTTATCTGTTTCGGATTTCACGAGGTTCTCGTTATAAGAAATTGTAATGTCGACCAAAAATATCCTTGTTTGTGCCCGGTCCATCAGCACAGGTTTATTCGCAAAAATAGTCCTGTCTGTGATGATGGTCCGGTCCCAATAGAGCCTGGCGCTGTCATTTTCGAGCTTCAGCATTTCCGGCAAGTACTTATAATAAGGCAGTTTAAATCACTTAATCACACACAAAAAATTTCATCAAAATCGGTTCATCAAAACACACGGACAGATGACAGATGCAAGTATTATACGTATAAATCTTCCTCTTGAAACATTCTGTCTATTGATAAAAACTTCATCAAAATCCGTCGTGTAGTTTAAAATATCTAAGCGTTCAGACGGCGTGAAGCTACTTTGTTTTATACTATGTAAAGATAAGATAGAGAAGAGATGTATAAAAATGAAGTCACTTTTATAGGAGGGAATCGCTGAAAAAACCTAAAATTTCATAAACATTAAGAAATATGTTAACAAGCTAATCAACTGTTATAATCAATGTGGTAATTAAGTGTAGGAATGTTGACACGAATTACTAATAGCAAAAATGTCTTGAAAATTGACAGTTTATTTTTAAAGAATGTGCAGAGATATTACACACTCCCGTATCGAACTCTAACATAGAACTCTACACCCATCAAGCTGACTTTTATGAATGAAATAATATGTTGCTCGTATTAGGAACGTGAAGTTTTCATTAACAGTAGGATTGGATTCAAATCTCATTAAAAGGCCAAGAAGCGTTGTAACCGTGAAGTGGCGGTGTAAGAATTTCCACCAACTCGTACTCGTATCATCCTGTGGCTTGTCGTAAGAGCGCGACCGAGGAAAGCTGAACCAGAAGAGAGACAGCAGCATCTTCCTGATAACAGCTAAATAGAAATAAAAAACACGTGTGAGTGTCGTGGAACACTCGGTTGGAACGAAGTTCCTTTTGTAGTATATTATTATTGATAAACGTAGTATATATTGAGTAACAAATACAAATAAATGAATTACTAGCATATATTAAAATGGAGCATCATTTAAAATAAAATAATATTCCAAAGCCTTCTATACTACGTCAGAAGGGGTCGTGACGGAGAAGTCTTATACTTTTGTCGCCTAGCTCCCATCCGCCAAATCTGTACCGTCCGTTAAAGAACTTCGTTCCAAAAACTGCGGTTGCCATCTCGTTTGCTAAGTGTCAGCCATGACAAATATTCCCCCTGTGAGGCAATCTATTGTGGAAGCCCAGGATCAGACAGTGAACTTTTAGGTTTTAATAGTAATAGTACGGTTATTACTAGTTCCATCAATTTGGTAGTACACAATATTCGTAAATGAGCTAATTTTAACTTTATTTTATTAGGTTTCACTAAATTTAAATACCCACCGAATTGTTGGACCAAAAATTTAAAATCCTTTTTGTTTAAATCTAAAATAAAGTGTAGCACGAAACGTTTTAAAAGAGCTAAAAATCATCCAAACACCTCGCGGCAAAAATGCTTTGTCGAATTGTCAAAATAAAACGCATCCAAAGTCCAATCAAATATTGGTAAAATAATTCAATTCGGCGTTTTCTGTGGCAACGTTGCGCTTCGTGTGCACAGTCTGGCAGCTCGTTGGTGCGCTCTGTGTTGACGTATTTGCAGCGCAAATAAAAGAAACATCGGGAAAATTGAGGGTTCACGCCTCTGATATTTTCATATAAACAAATAAATAAAATTGAACTGTCCGTTTGTAATGTCAAAGTAATAGTTTTTTAGTAAATGCATATGAGTAAATACGGTACTTACAACAAAAAAAAATTGTCTATCTGTCTGTTTGTTCCCGCTAATCTCCGAAATAGCTGAACTGATTTCGACGGGACTTTCACTGGTATATAGCTGATGTTATAAGGAGTAATATAGGCTTCTATTATTTTATAAAAATAAATTAAGACCCATGAAATCCAATCGTAATAGGGATTTAAGGAGAGCTTAAAATTTTTCACATTAACTTCGTTTGTCGCACAACATTTACTTACAACTCTGTGTAGTGGAAGTATATCTATCATGCCAATTAATCTCTTCAATTTGTTAACATCAACCTAGAAATGGCATAAGCGGTTATTTAAAAGAAGGTGTAACCATACAACATGACAAAAATATAATTGGATCTTAGATATCCTGACTGAAAACAGCGTTTACTCGTATTTAACATATAACATATATCAAAATAATGAGCATTAACGTGAATTTGTAATTGCGATAGGTTTAATCTGTTAAGCGTGAAAGTTATTTGAATTCCTCTAAACTTGAGAAGGCTAACTAATTGCAAAACATTAAAAATATTAGTTATATGTTAGTTATATTATGTAAAATCGGTTATCTCGTTAAGTAGTCCCCGTGTCCATATAAAAATCTACAAAATGTATAAAAATAATAATAATGTTCTCCAGACCGAATTTCGGTCACGGTGGCCAGTCACAACGGAGTCCAGCCATCTGCACAGGTATATTATAGTGCCCGAGTGTGTGAGCAAGCACATGTGCACTCTTTACCCATCGGGCTATGAAAGTGTTCCCCCACTTTCATAGCCCGATGGGACGGTAATCCGCCATGATGCTGCTGTGTTTCGTATGGTGAGTGTAGAGAACCGGAAACCCTTTTTACTGGAAACGAGGCATTCCATCTTAGTCCTCACGGGTGACAACGCATCTGCATTTTAATTCGCAAACGAAGATAGATGTAGATGTCTATGGGCCGCAGCAACCAGTTACCATCAGGTGAACTGTGTGCTCGATTGTCACCCTTATCCTATAAAAAAAGATCAGGCGCAGGATCTACGGCTTTACATGCTTTCTGAGGCACGGGGGCGAAACACCGCCAACTTCCTGATTCCGGGCAGCTACTGCTAATTAGAACTAGCAACTGAGAATTAGCTATTAGCTAGAGAATTGTTGTAAGTGGAACCATTTTTTTTTCCCGATATAGTTATTGTATTATATAGATGTAATAATTGATGTTTGATGTAAGTTTGACAGGTAAGTGTCTGAATATTAAAGCTAAAAATTTATTTTATATTAAATATTAATTGGCCATACACATTGAGTTATATGTACTACGTACTAGAGAAGCCATTCCAAACAAAAATTGTGTCCTACTCTACGTCTTCGCGCATGCGCGGGAGTAGTAGTCGCGCATGCGCGAAGACTTTAATTTAACATAAAATAAGATATTAATATAAAATAAATATAAGAATTTAATATAAAATATGTTAATTTAATCTTAACAAACATATTTCTAAATAAAATGTAATAATTATTATTTTATGGAATTCACAAATCTTCAATTTACGCAATATTTAGTTTGTATGGATTGCACTACAGTTCAGTTGAATATAGTCAATGTTCGCAATGGCTTCTCTAGTACGTAGTACATATAACTCAATGGCCATACACAATATAAATATTAATTGCATTGTGTATGGCCTAAAAATAATTGTCCTTGTATTTATTTGCATGTATGTCCATGCACAATTTATGTATGTAAAACAGCTCCACGATACCGAAGAAAATCCTAGTGGAAGGATAACGTTCTTCTTAATAAAGAGTTAAGATAAGCACTTACCGGCAAAAGGAACATCGCACACGTACTCCTCCACGCAGTTATCAGTATTACCGCTTCGATCCGTGGCACCACTGGCGACTGACGCAGCTGAAGCCGCGCGGAGTAAACACATCTCAGTTTCTGTCTGACTGTCCCGTAACATTGATCTCCTCTTGTACTCCTGACAAAAAAAAACAATATACTATCATTATTAATATATCACATTTTGTTATTATTTAATATACAAACTTTGGACCAAGGCCCCACCTAATGTTAAATAGTAATAAGGTCCTATATAGTTAATACATGCATATTGCACATACCAATTGTTTGTTCTTTTACATAATGGTTACTAACGAACACATGGTTCACCTGTTGGTAAGTGGATGGTGGATGTTGAGGCCCATAGACACCTAAATCTATCTTCGATTTAAAATTATAATACAAATGCGTCGTCACGCCTAAAGATTAAGCAGAAACATTAAACATATAAAACACATCAGCGTTACGCTGCTGTATCATACTGGTATTCTGTGAGAGCGCCCTTCCACAGTCGAACACCCCTTATGTGTGCACAGCCTTAATACACCTGCAACGTCACTAAGATACGTTACCAGGTACTACCGTGAAATAGCAGCGTGATGCTGCTATGTTTCACATGACGAATCGGATACCTATCCTATTGGTAACAAAGTATATCATAGCCGTCAAGAGCAACAACGCATTTTGATTCTTAATCGCGAATACATGTAGATATCTATGAGCTACAGCATTCACTTACCACTTGTAAAATAGGGGAATTCTGAAATTTTGTCAATTGTAAAAAATGTTAGATAAGTACCTAATAGGGGGTACTAGGGTAGAATAAACAAAAGGCCCTGTTAACTTCGCGTCTTTCGTCACTAAATATACACTTAAAAAATTATTATTAAAATGGCCTAACATTGATTCCATAAAAACCGTATATTAACGTTACACGTATACAAACGTTATACGTAGTAGAGCCATTCTGCAGCTATATTTGTAGTATAGTTGAAGCACAAATGAGTCGACTCGACCGGGGAAGGACCACACAGAAATCACAGATCTCACATAATCCCGGTCCCGAACAAGCCGGTTTCCGAAAGGGCTTTAGCACCATAGACCACATAAATACCCTTCGGCAAATTGTACAGAAGTCCGAGGAGTACAATTTGCCACTATGCCTGGCGTATGTGGACTATAAGAAAGCCTTTGATTCCGTCGAAATTTGGGCGGTGCTGCAGTCCCTTCAGCGGTGCCAAGTTGACTGTCGGTATATCGAAGTGCTGAAGTGCTTGTACAGTAGGGCTATGATATGGCCTACGATACGATGGAATTAGCCCATAAGTCTGCTGCTAGCCATGGGCCTATCCCGTTGTAGACCGGATTTTTCTTATTCATTACACTAGGCAGACTGTTTGACGATTACAGTAAGTCGGCATCACGCTGCTGCTAGTCGCCAGTCTGGGTATTTTAAGTCTGGCGACAATGATAACCCTGAAATTTTCCATAGTCATCTCTTAAGATGGTCATAGTCATAAGATGGAATGGGGTGGTGGATATCTTCAGGGCCACCACGCGGCAAATGTGAAGTTGACTATAAGAATTAATCGCTCGTTTATGGCGTTCTTGTGAGGAAAGATATCGTAAGGTGACCAAAATGTGGAGAATTGTTTATGAAGTAGCGTATTAAAATCTTTTGAAAATTCTTCCATAATGTCCTGCCTTTATTGATATTACATTCATAAGCAGTGGTGTAGTTCGACCCCTCTAGATGGAATGACGACCTGGTAAGACATGCAGGAAGTCGATGGATGCAGGTGGCTCAGGACCGTGCTTTGTGGCATTCCTTGGGGGAGGCCTATTTTCAGCAGTGGACTTGTGGAGGGCTGTAATGATGATGATGATGATGAAGCAGTGGCGTAGCTACCGTAAGGCTAGGCAGGGCAGTGCCCCGGGGCCCCAAAGCTCCAGATCCTTCGGCCTCCACTAACGGCGTTCCAAAAAGAATAGAATTATATAAAATCCTAGTTTAATAAATAATTTGTGACTTTTAACTTTTTGGCTGACCAACAAACCTCGAGTGGCTCGAACTGAAATCACAGAAATTTCTCCCAAATCTAAAACATAAACATAATATTGTTCAAATAAAATTGTCTACTTCGTTTATTGATTCCACCAGCGACTTCGTTCGCCTGGTATGGACCAATATTAAAAAGCTGATGACAAAGTAATTTTGCACCTGTAAAGTATTTAGTTTAGTTTAAATAGGGCCCCAATTTCATTTTTGCCCCGGAGTCCTTCGTTACATAGCTATGCCACTGTTCATAAGGGATATAATAAGAGATGATAAACATATTTATTATACATATAGAATACCATTCACGAAAATTACAAAATCTAAGTTTAAAATGCATTGCCTAGGGAACTAAGCTTGTACTCACTCTGTCTTAGGCAATACAAATCTAAAGCATTTTATTCAAAACAGCTTTAGATTTGTATTGCTTTTTATCAAAAAAGCATTATATTCAAAACGGAATTTAAACAGTAATGTCGTTACTTCATTTGTTCGAACTGTAGAAAACCTTTACCGGAATTAAGCAGAGAACACTATACACGTTGATAATACTTGGTACTTGTGCGTGAGGTGTTAAATATAATTATTTTTAAATTTAAATCAAATGCAGTCGACTTGTGATGAGCTGTAATGATAACAATGACGATGAATATAATAATTATATAGTATTTTTGAAATAACATGCGAAACAATTTTTTCATATCAACCCTTGCGGAAAAAATCAGTCGAATAATTCGAATATTGCCGTGCTCTATATAAAAGGCGGTTGAACTTTACATGAGCGAAATTCAATTTTCTCATCAACATAGCTAATTTATCCTAATCTTGATCTTGAAATTATTTCGCTATTTCAAAAAAAATAACGAAGACGCAGATGGAAGGAAGATCACATTTTTTTCTACCGACTTCAAAAAAGGAGGAGGTACTCAATTCGAATGTATGTTTCTTTGTGTGTTACCTCATAACTTTTTTTCTATGTGAACCGATTTCGATGATTCTTTTTTTATTTCAAAGCTGGTGCTTCGCGTGAAGCGGCATATAAATTTCATCAAGGTCTAACTAATAGCTTTTCAGTTATTCTTAATCGGTTGTACAATTTTTTTTTATTTTAAATTATTTAGCGTAACGTTCCTTGTAACTTTTTTTGCCTTTATTTTGAATATCGCTAGAAATAAATAAAAAACTATCAATCTTCTTTACTCTTTTTACATTTTAATTAAGAAATGACATACATTTTAATAAAATAATTATACACAATACAAGCCAATCACTACTGCAATAAGTTACGTTTTCAATTCAGTCCATCTAATGATAAGTGGCTGTAGCCCATGGACATCTGCAACCAACTTCAAACAAATAAGGTTACAGAATCGTTGCCACCCTAGGGAATTAAGATGCAATGCATCTGACTTTCTCATCTATACATATATTTGTAGCACGAACGAGTCGACTCAATCGGAGAAGGACCACGCTCTAACAAAATACCAGCGTTTAATAGCAGCTCAATTCGTATGGTGAATGAAGAGAACCGGAGGCCCTTTTTACTGGAAACGGGGCATTCCATCTTATTCTTCAGGGGTGACAACGCATCTGCATTTTGATTCTTAATCGAAGATAGATGTAGATTGTAGAAGTCCATGGGTCACAGCATTCACTTACCAGCAGGTGAACTGTGTGCTCGTTTATCACCTTAATTCCATAAAAACATGACTGCTACTTAGCGGTCGACTCAGACCAGACCTAGACACGCCGAAGCCATACTCAACTTATAACTTACGTAAAAATTAACTGTCACATATGGACCTAAAGCCATGTTAAGATTGTATAGGAGTTGAATATGACTTTGGTCTCTCATATAATGTACTTAGCTCTTTAGGTTGAGTATGCTCTTGGCTTAGTTCCAGAATCATTTAAAAGTACCTCCGTAACCCCTTCCTTTATTTGGTTCAGAAAAGAAAGAGTTAGGGCATCCAGGTAACCAATTTTGAAGTAAGCTTCCCTGAGGTATGTTTTGTGAAACATATCATTTTAGTACTTAAGGGTAACTTAACGTTTTTTTTTTTTCTTTATTTTGTGCCTTTAATGTAAATTGGTATCGTAGCAGCAAATACTTTCTTCGAGCATAATCACAAAATTGCTCATCCTTTTTATAAGGCGCTGCTTTAAAGAGTAAGCACTACCCACGATGACCAAAAATAATTTGTTAACAGTATTGCAAAAGATTGGCTCTGCGCGTTATTAAATCTGTGTAAAAAAACCATAAGCGAGGCAACACTACTGTTTTTTTTTAACATTGTTTTATCTGTACCTTTTTGCCTTTCTATGAAGGCTCGCTATTTTTAAGCGATCTTTAAAAAACGAAGAAACAATGTGAGAATGCTTATACAATAGATTTTTTGGTCATCACTGAAAATCAGCGGTATTGTTACAACTCATGTTGAGTAATGACCTTTTTTTGGCATGCCTTCGACGTACAAAGCCAAATTTATTGAATTTCGTTTTTCTTTTGTTATAAATTAGTATTTAGTTGTACGTCAATCGGTCTGTGCCAAAATGAAGTGTGTCTTTCTTTCTATTGAGTTTATTGAGTAGTGGGCTAGAGCACTCGATAAGTCTCGATTGTTTTATGGCGATATTGTCTATTATCCTCTGCAATTCTTGATATTCTTAAGTCCTTCGCAGTGAGATCTCAAAAAGCTGAACAATATAAAGCTTATGAATATAGCATTAGTACACGTCCATCATAGTCACAAGCAGTTTCTTTTGACTCAATTGCGTTTGGTACATGGGTTCAACTATTGCGACAAAAGTATCCAATTATCAAACAAAATCCATATTATTACAAGTAACTATCCGATTTAACATCCCCTGATTTAGTGCGATTTAATAAACATTGATGAAAGTTTTTTCTTGTCTTTCATTAAGTTGATACAATATCCGCTTTCCGAGCTACTTAGATACTTAATTTGACGCAAATTAATCAATATAATTTTGTAATTTACGTTGCAGGTTTTTGATTACTCTGAAATCCTATAAAATAAAAACGCTTCTACTATAGCTTTCAGTTCTTTATTTAAGTCTCCGGTCATATACGGGGCCCGTCCTTGAAGTCAGGTATTACCATAACGGAAACGAAAAATACACCGAGCGTGACCGAGGTGCCTGGTATATACAGCTCGTTGATATAGTGTGCAGTCCGTGAAGCATTCATTCCAGTCGTGGCATCACGACGGAACTGCTATAACAAAAATTCTTACATTGTCGCAGACTCGGGGATATCAAAGAAAACATAAAGGGCAGCACATTGCTTACGACTTTAAATTTAGAATTTTATACAAGATATTGAACTTTTGGCTTATATGGCGTGAGTTTTCAATTCTTTAAAAGGATATATTAAGTTGAATTACTAAGACAAATGTCTAATAGCTATAAGTGGAGATATTATCGGGCCAGAATTTAACAGGAAAAATGGACTTATATAACGTTGAAAATGAATATCGGTAGGCAGAAGCGTCGACAATTTTTTCTCATCTTCTTCATTAAGAAGAAATGAGGGTGGTCTTTTCTCCATACAAACGCTCTCACCTGTTTTCATTTTGATTTATGACCTTATAGCAATGAGTTTTTACAGTAAAATAAATATCAACCCCTTCTATGTTCCCATGTTTTCCTTTTTGATGATATCCTTTCCTTCTTGAACGTTTTGATCTTTATAAGCACTAGAACCCTTACAAAATGCTCAAAATTGTCTATTTAGACCGCTGTCAACAGAGGCCTAGTGTTCGAATTTGATAAAAAATACTGAAAAAAGAAAAACATAGGGACACATTTTATATTCTTCTTATTCAGTTTATGAAATATTTTTTAAATTGGTCCAACGTTAGAGGAGGAAATGGTTGAGAGCCAAACCTTGAATTATGTCTTTTTACTTAGGCTATTCAGTCGGACCTGCAGTTGTCCTTATCGGACGCCGTGCGGTCGCAGAGCGACAGATTGTTTCTTCAAATACCTGATTTTCAATTCTCTCGGCCCGCATTTCCTCTTAACAGCCTATTTGTCCGCTTTTGGACAAAGGATTTGCCGATTGGTCTCAAAAATTAATACTTATTTGTTATTCTACAACAGATAATGTAGAACCATTTTAGAAAGTGTCTTTTGCGATTCTTATAAAAGGACACAATTTAAAAATAAAATATAAATCTCAGTAACCTGCTCATTTTCTTTTTTACATAGAAGTAATAGCACAGAATAAATAATAGTACTACGTACAGAAGTTGCACTCCTTTGATGTTGAGTGCTTGCCGACGTTTTAATAGCCTACACAATTATTATTAATCAGATAAATCGCGCACGCAAGCTAAATAAAATTTTATCGGTGCGCGCGAGTGTCCTTATTACTTTGCATCTTAACAACTCACAACTGACTTTCCGTGGATACTAAGAACTGTTAATAAAGAGTAAAAAAATACATTGCGCAATTGTAAGTTACTTAGGTAAAGTACCTATTCTGACTATGATCGATCATATTTCCGCTACTATGTGAGTTCTGTGATACCCAACGCTTGCTACTTTCAAGGCCATTCGTCGGGAATCGCGATGTTTGGCTCGGAAGAAACAGCTAGATTGTGTAAATAACAAATAAACCCGAAATACGATTCCTAATAGAAATGTGATCGTATTCTACTCAGATGAAAATCTTCTAAACAAAGTTTTAATTTTAGTATTTTGTGGTATTAATTATTATAACTTAAAATATTTTCATTACAAAGACAAGTATAGGTATGTAAGTAGGTACTTGGATGGTGAAGTAAATTTCAACTCAATTTTATCATAAAGTACTTAGGTATTACTTCTGTACTTAAATTATTATCCTTTTCCCGCTACACGTAGCTATCTATCAAAAATAATTTATTTCACCTTTAATTATACTTCGGTAAGTTAAAATTTTTTTATTATCTGACTTCTTTTCTTTACTCATTAACTATTTACCTAGCTAGCTAGCCTAGAACGCGCTAACCCAGACTGCGTTGTATCCCGGGGGCGCCTCGCGATTGTAGGTAATTATTTCAGGCAGGTAGCAAGAGTGACAGAGGCCTGGTAAAAGTAACAAACGAGCTTTATTCGGTACACAGCGCGACATGCTGCTAATTTACGTTGGTGTTCTGCATGAGCATGGCCCGTCTCTAGTGAAGCTGACTCATTCGTGCTGCAGCCTTACGTTGCAGTGTGGCTCTACCATCTACCATCGTGAACGGGATATTCTGATCTTCAAGATTTATGATAAATTTTAAAACTTGATAGGTACCGTTTATAGAGCACAAGATAACTCCATCGGAAATGGTATAGCTTTCACAAAACAATATTTTTTTTAATTTCACAGAAATATAAAGCATAATATATAGGCATTATGATTTACATTGATGAGACGAATGATATAATTACTAACAACCATCTATTGGCATGACCCAAAACCAGAATCTTGACATCGATTTCTTAGTTTTTTTTTCTTAAGGCGACTTCTTTGTGAAATCGTCTACCACCAGCGATTTTCAAAACGAAAAGATTTAAGGACCATCAAAAAACGAGCTTACTAATTTTTAAAAGGTCGGCAACGCACTTGCAAGTTGCTGACTCTTGCAGTTGTTCATGGGTAGCGGTCGACACTTACCATCAGGAAAGCCGCATACTCGTTAGCTCCTCTTCTATAAAAAAAATATCAAGGAAAAATTTATCTAGACAACGACACTCCCCACCAGGTGATGTACCACCATAAAGCATCTCTTGGTGTCGGGACGAACGCAACGGATATATATATATATATATATATATCCGTTGCGTTATATATAACGAGGCGGAATTTTAAAGGATAATAATAACCTGATACACAAATTGCTTCAAAACGGTGACTGACAAACGGACAGATGGACGGACGGACAGCGGAGGACGGAACGGAGGATTAGTAATAGGGTCCCGTTGGTTACCCTTCGGGTACAGAACCCTACAAACTTAATCAACACGATTTGAATATGAACTCTAATGGTCCTATTGAGAATTTTTAGGTAACAACAGTCATGAAGTTATTATTGCGATCATAGGTTGTTAATAGGTCTGCAAAATTTAAAATTATATCGAAATCAAATCGAAAAAATACGAAACAAAAGACGAACATAAAAAGCTAAAAAAAAAATAAAACAACAAAAATGACAAATAATAATTGCTTTATTAAAATCATAAACTAAATAAAATCGAAAATAATACAAAAGATTACCTTAAAATAAAATAACTAAATTAATATAATATGGGAACAATACGAAATGCCTGACATTTACATATTTATATTTCAGTCTGCTAAATTCCATTTACGAAGTCTCAAGTAGAAAAGTTGGGTAATATCTTGTAATAATCCAATTGTTGTAAGATAAAATGCTTTCTTATTCTAATAACGCACAGCTTTAACGGACTATAACCTAATTATACTAATTATACTGTCATGTTGGTATTAACAACTTAATCATACAGCGGAACGTTATTCGTAGACACGTTCACACGAGCGTAATCGTTAGATTGTTGAAAACGCAGAAGTTACGTTCTTCAGTAAAAACTTTGCTAATTCTAGTGTTTTTCACAGAAAATGAAAATCTGCGTTAATGTTTACGTTAACACGCGTATAAATAGGTCTTTATGGCATACTTGCTAAAGTGCGAAAAACATGTTTCCATGATACACTTCTTGAAATGTCAACACATAAATTGGACAAAGTAGTCGACAAAGTCAAAGAGAGAATGAAAGATTATAAATTCGTTATTTTATTTTGCGACATAATTAGGTTGATAATTTATTTTTCTCAATGCACTATAATACTTTAATATTAAAATACTGGTCCACAGAACGAATTTTACATTTCTTAAATTGTAATTAGAACTTAAACCCGATAAAAGCTCTAAATTGTCGGTGGTGAAGTAAAATTATTAAGTTGCCAAATTATTACATATAATGTAAGTAATAAATATTGTGATATATCGAATTTTATTTTAGGAAACTTAGTATAGTAATTTCAATTCACCGAAATTCTTTTACAATCTTGACATTACAAAAACACTCCATTTATGAATCACTTGAAACTTTTAGACACATTTTAACTCTAGTTGTAAAGTATTTTAACACCGAATACATAAACTTTTTAATATCACTACGATTATATATTTCTTTAGAGCTAATTATAAATTTAATACTATTCAAATAGCACCTTAATACTTAAGAAGACTTTATGTACAAGTGTAAAGTTTAAGATATTAATTTAGAGTTCAAAGCACCACACGCTAGACTAGGGCTAAAAACAGCGGAGTTTTTATCACAGAACATTGAAAATTTAATGCCCCGAAGTTAGCTTTCAAGTTAACTATTGGTGACGTCACCCTGCGACTTTTTCCTAATTCTTATCTCTTCTACAACCTCCATAATTAGCTGAAATATTTAAAACGCAATTGAAAATAAAATAGAGGGTGTTTTAGGTGCAGGTTAATTGCATGCTCATGCATTATTTTTGTTATGGTAGTCTTCCAATTATTTCTTATTACATAATAATTTTAATTTGTTACATGTTATAGCAATCTGATTTTCAAAACAATATGAATAAAGTTCAGAGTCATTTGTGCGTTTCACTAGCGTATAGTTGATATGAAATATAAATAATAAACAAAATTAACCCTTATTCATTAAGAACAAATTTATTCTTAAAAAATCACTAAAAATTGGAACATTTGTCTCTTTTAATGTAATAACATGCATCGAGACCGTTTTAATTAAAGGTTATATTTTTGGTGTAATAGTAAAATAGACTTACATACTTCTACAGCTACATAATATATGGCCAAATACTCAAACGTCAATCAAATTTAAGATCGCGTTACGTCTCGTGGTGTCACAGTCACTTTGACTTAACGTGATAGAGACAGCACGAGACTTAACGGCGTCTTAAAATTGATCAGCGTTTGAGTATTTGGGCATCAAACGGTCAAAAACATTCTACGCGTGCTATGACTGACAATATCAATCAGGACTAACCTGACTGAGCGGCCTGATCCTTTCGTGAATGCTGTTCTCGGCTTGCTTTGCTGATGGCGGCGGATGGTCAGGAGTGGGTGGTTGATCGTAATGTGTTGGTGATAAGGGAATGTCAGCTTTGTGCCTGTCGTAATACCGTTCACATTCACCCGGGCTATTCATCGATTGGTCGTCTAATAGGCTCTCAAGGGAAGACTTTTCTTGGTTCGAATACCTTCGTATTCTGCTATCGTTCATTCTGACTTCGTGATTTTCATAAGGCGGTACAAAGTTGTTTCTTTTAAGCTTACGTCTGGGGTTTTGCTCTTTTATAACGACATTCTCGTACATAGCCGTGATGGCGACGGGCTGCGAACGGTGTTTCAGGCTAGGCCGGGGATTAGGGACGGGAACGACTCTGGGCGAGTTGTGATTGTCCTCATATTCGGGGTAGGAAAGTTTACCGTCCACGTACTGGTCTACTGAGCGACCGTGTTTGAGGTAGTGTTTAGCACCCTGTAACAAAAAAAGATAAGTATTAATTTTTATACCAGCAGAAGTGACGAATGTTATTACTAAACAGTAGAAATCTCTATGGGGTCAATTACTGAACTAAACTGATTACGGGCTGATGGGCTCAAAGATGAGATGATATTTTATGTTTGTGTTACATTAGTTCTCAGATATACAAGCTAAAATTAACAGCTCGTTTAATTAACTATAACCTGTAGGATTCCTCGGATGCCTTTACCTGTATATCATCCAAATCGTCCTGACTTCTCGCGTGTGCCCTCAGCTCGTAACTGTATCCGGAGGAGGGAGAATTGGCGTGGGTGGGTGACACTGACAGGTTCCGTCTGGGAGGTTTCTTGGGGGGAGTTGGCTGCAAATGCAAGTACAGCCTCAGTTTTCAAACTATAGAATTTTGATGAATAAAAACGGGATGGTAAATATTGAGAATACTAGGATCCTATAAAATATAGCGACGTGTCTATCATGTGTTATCGTTTTAGAAAAAAAAATATGAGAAAATATTTAAAAATATGCACCCACATTGTTCGGACTTTATCAACATTCTGAATTCCAGTTTTAATAAGAACTGCTTTGTTGTCATTTTTAGTAATTATCTAATAATCACCAAGAAAACAAAACGAGTTGATATTGTTTAGCGGCGTAGAGGTCAGTTATATTTGATATCAATAATGAATAAATAATTCATTCGAGCCTTTAAAAGTCCACTGCTGAACATAGGGTTTCCCATAGATTGCATATCTGCTATAGTTGCCACGCTTGGCAGGCGGTTAGGCAACCGCCGTTTTATTACTACAATGTTTGCATCTGTAATAAGCGAAATAATAGAAACCTGAACTAATGCGGCTGGAAAAAGCGGCGAATTTTCTCCAGTATCCAAAAGCAAGAAATTCTATTAAGGGGCTACTCCATGCGAACGACCTTGAGCATTTGGTGTGCCGCGCCGACTCGCTACAGTATTGAATATATCGCGTAAGAAATATGTAAGGCGCCACCTACTGTACGAACGTAGTATTTTTTCAACATCAATAAACTATTTTATGGAAATACACACAGCGTACGACGATAAATGTATTTTAATTTTTTTATTCGGTATATTAGTTGCATTATATTAGAATTATGTATTCTCATATATTATCTAATTATGAAATTTTATAATTAATTATATATTAAAAAATAAGCATTGAAAATTGTGAGTTTAAAAGATACCTACTCACTATAGGTAAATAGAAAGATAGCTCGCCCTTTGTACAAATATTTGGTGCAATAAAGAATAAATAAATAAATAAATAGGATATTTCGCAGAGTGAGAGTAATATAGAATGAGAGTCGTGGAGGCAGTTTACAAAAATAAATTGCACAAGGACAAACATCCAGACCCGGAACAATTATTTGTAGGCCTTACAAATACTTGTTCCGTGCAGGATTCGAACCCGTGGCCCCCAGCGCAACAACTGATTGCTAAGCCACTGCGCCACGGAGCCGTCGCCGGCTCGCCGGGTTATAGCTAGAGTGACCATACGTCCCGTTTTGAACGGGACTGTCCCTTTTCTCGGTCACCTGTCCCATTGTCCCCAAATAAAGCTCCGGGACACAAAATTGTCCCGTAACTCGTTGGATGGAAGTATTCAAAGCCAACAATCTTCAACATATTTTTTTAATCGAATATATTTTGTCTACCTGGTACAAATGCTCCAGTAGAAAGAGTATTTTTCTATTTTGAATAAATTGTGAACGTCTGAAAAAAACACTTACGGTTCCAGTTCTAAAGACGATGTTGTTAACAAAGGTAACAATAAAAAAAACTTCTTATTTAAAATCATCACTCAACTCAACTTTATTAAAGCAAATTTAATCCACTGACAAATGTAATTAATAATAAATAAAAAATATGTTGCATTTAATAATTACCGTCTATACCGAATATAATTTTATAGTAAACACTAATTGTATAAAGTTATAGTTTTTAGAGTATAAATAAACCCATGTCCCGTTTTGAGTTAAAAGATAAATGGTCAGTTTAGTTAGAGAGTCGAGTAATAACCCGCAATGCCGCAGATAGTCCAACTTAGACGCCCAGGCCGAATTAGTCGCCTATAGGCAGACTTACCCGACCGGGCCTTATTAGACGACCATAGACCAAATTAAACGCCCAATTCAAACCAAACCTTACATGCTAATGGTGCTTAATTTTTATATTTGCATTACTTCAAAGAAAATACACGCAAAAAGCTTCATCGTGCAGTAAAAAACACAACAAACTAATACGAAAAATTATACCCAAAACAAACAAATAATACTACCTAAAAATAACCTAATAAGTAATAATATTATCGAGTAATAAGATGACGTGAATGTGTGCGCTGGCCGACGCTCTGACTAACGACACAGGTTTCACGTTCAAGAGCTCAGCGCTCACTGACTCCAGCAAGCCCGTGGGCAGTGAATATGCCCAGATTTTAAAATAATTTCTTAATAAAATCAAATTTTGGACTTTTGAAAAAAAATTATAATAGAAATGTTCATTAATAAATTGCCTATCCATTGGTGTAAATCGCAAAATAAAATAATACTTACTTTACGAGCATGCATGTTATCAATAATTATTTCACATTTATGTGGTTTCGTTGAAGGGGATTATATTAATATTTATTCCTTTAAAAAAAATTGGATGTAGCTCTTATGGAATCAAGATTATGTAGAAAATAATAAATGTGTTTTTTAAAAAAGTAGATAGCTCCTAAAACCGCACAAATAACGACTAGCGCGACATTTTGCTCAAGCTGCGCCTTAAGTATATACAGTAGCTAGCATATTTTAGCTCATCTTCATTGTCATCACAATGCGAGATAAGTGCCCGCAATTGCGTAATTGGGAATTTAAATGGTGACGAGGAAAACATTTACGTATAGCCCAAGAAGAATAACCAATCGATGTACAGCCGGTTTTAATATATTATTTAGTTTGTTGGACTTAAATTCAACTGACATGAGTTTTAGTTTTAAACTGATTATTACTTTTTCGTCAAAAATATATTATGCTTAATTAAGTTATACTTCTTTTGGGGCGTTTGGGGAAAATGATGGGAGTGAATATTTTACGATGCGCGCGCACACCGACAGCTTAAAACGACACCATGAAGTTGTTACGATGCGCGCGCACACTGACACCTAAAAGCGACAACTTCAGTGGTTAATTGTCTCTCAAGTTTTTGGAAAGAAGTTCCTTATCGGACGGTGTGAATTTGGCAGATGGGGGCTAGGCGAGAAAAGTGTAAGACTTTTATATATAACGTATAACTTCCTACGTATACATAAGTACACACACACTTTTTTTCGATGATTATATCGATAGGTATGTCAAAAAGAAATACTTTTTGAAAAAAATGGCGATAAGGCGTTGCTTTACAATACAATACACTCTTTTGTATTGCACACCAAGGAAAACAAACCACATAATTAAATTAAAAACATAGCAATGTCTTCCAGAAAACCTACATGGAAGTTAAATGTTAACCCTTTCCCTGTCCATCATATATAAACATTTCCATTGTTTAACCATTGTGTCTTTTTAGCGGACAGACAGAAAGGGACCTGTTAAGGGAAAAAAAATATGGATAGGGTGAACTATAATACAAAATACTTAAAATGTAGACCAGTAACAATAATAAATCTCTATAACAAATTTTATCAGCGTGTAACTTGGACCATACGCAATTGTCCGAGTAGGTCGAGTAATTCAATATCGAGCCGAGGATGAGGAGTAAATTGGTAGCAGCCGGTAGATGAATGAACAATTTTCTGCACAAAAGCTTGTTACGACACGACGTTCTAACTAGAGGGTCTCTAATAAGTTTAGAGGCAAAATATTTTATTGTTAATGTATTTTGAATGAATTACTACAAACACATTTAAACAAAAGCCACAGTTGTTTAAAATTTTAAAAATGTGGTAGTTTAAAGTATATACTTCCCTTGCTTTTTTTTTAAAGAATAAGGATGACAAACGAGCACACAGTCCACTGTGTAAGTGGTAAGTGGTTGCTGTGGCATAGACATATACTTCTATCTTCGTTTGCTAATTAAAATGCAGATGTGTTGTCAGCCGTAAGGATTAAGATAGAATGCCTCTTTTCCAGTAAAACGGGTCACCGGTTCTCTAAACTCACCATACGAAACACAGCAGCATTGAGCTGCTATTTTACGCTGGTATTCTGTGAGAGCGTGGTCCTTCCCCGGTCTAGCCGACCCATTCGTGCTACAACTATACTATTAATATAGCTGCAGCAGGGCTCTACCTCGTATAAAAAGTATCTGCAGTAAGTTGCTGCAAGTATCTTGAATCAAGCACTTAAGATAAGTTTAGAGAAAGTCTAGTTCATCGTTTATATACATATATCCTTAAAGTTTGAATCAAGCATTATGTCATTGAAACAAGCTTGATAAAAAATTATATTTTTGTGTTCACCACACATTTGATCAAGGTCTTTGGACAAACCTCAACAATCACAGCGGCGGACGTTTATTTGCCAGATAACACTCACCAAAGAAAACAGGAACAACATAAAGGGTTTTGGTAAAGTAAAAACCAAGAACGTTTAACGAAAAGCGATATATGGTGAATCAGATTGTGGATTAAAAAGTAAGTCTTGGTTAATATTCCAATGGTAATAATCGTTTGATTTTTTTCCTTACGAACAATGTTATCAGACATAACATCAGATTTTCAGCGAAAATTTGTGAACTAATCACAAATTTTCGCAAAAGTACATCAAGTCCTAGTGAGATTCTATTGAAATAAGAAAAAACATCGTATCTAACGAAACTAAACGATAAGAATATATTCACGTTCAATGTGTATAATAATTGGTGTTAAAAAAGGGTTTTATAAAATATTTACTTGGTGGTAAATTTTCTATTAGGTATTAAAGTTAGGTATTAATAAATTAATTTTTTTTTCTCAGAGGTATTTTCCGAACCAGTGGTAAATAAAAAATGACTTTCAATAAGTATTATGTAATAATCAATATTGAATAAAAAGACATTCTATTCTATTCTATTCTATTCTTTCCAACACGTAAACAACAGCGAGAGAGAATGTACATAAGCGATGACACTTCGTCTTATTGGTCTTATCCCATAGTTGTGGCAACGCATCCGCAACATTGTTTCTACGTAAACAAAATAGTAGATGGGGCCTCCTAGCAAGTTAAAAAAATCATAATACTTAATAAAACACGGTCGCGGAGCAGGAATTTTTTTATTGCTTTGCATTTTAAACTTAATTCCCATCACTAAAAGTTTTATTTCTATTGCAACTAGGATAGTTTTAGGACCTTTTGAATAGTATTTGT